TCCTGCCATTCCGTGCTCCTTCCAAATTTGAACGCTCTGGGGCGAGGTTGACAATTTTTGCGCAAACTCTGCCCCCTTGGGGGCAGTACAGTCCTTCCACCCACCGCAAGTGTTCCCATCCTGTTTCCTGTAATCCTAACAAATTTGAACTTTCTAGATCCACGGGTCAGGAGTTATGAACTTCTGCTCGAACGCTGCCCATTGTGGGCGGAGTCCGCACGCCACCCATCATAAGCGTTCCCATCCGGCTGCCTGATCTCCTGCCGTACTTGAACGTTCTACGACCACGGGGACAGGAGTTGCCTATTTTCGTGTAAACAGACAGACAGGCAGACAGACAGACGGACAGACAGACAGAAGCGAGCGCTCTATATGTAGTAAGGATTTTTTATTTACTTTGTCAAAGTGGGGAATGAGGCCCGGCGTAAGCCGGGGGACCCGACTGGTAATTGATCTTACTTCATATAATTTGCTCAGCGTGTCGGTGTGTGTGTTTGACCGGAAATATGTAAATACTTCCTAATCCCGTGGACCTAGAAAGTTCAAATTTGCCAGGAGTACGGAGGACGGAGTGTGGCAGGACGGGACTCCGCTCACAGGGGGCGGAGCGTGCACTCAAGAAATTTTAGGTCGCAAATTCATAGCTCCTGCTTACGTGGATCTAGGGCGTTGGAACTTGGTAAGCCGCGTTCTGCTTCCAGGGACCGGGTTTGCGTGAAATATAATAAATGGTTGAGCGGATATTCCTGTTCCCGTGGACCCAGAGAGTTCTAGTTTGCTAGGATCATAGCTTTCGTATTAACAATGGAACTCGGACATTTTGATAAGAGATGTAGCATATGACAGGATCTTAGGTACCGGTGACAGCAACTGATGACAACTGATAATACGTAGGTTGCCTTTTATATTTCGGGATTTGAGAACAGGAACAAATACTATTTATTGAAAATCGCTTGACTGCCTTTCAAAATTCTCCACATTAAGATCTATACGCTTTTGTATGGCCTCGAACCAATTTTCGAGGCACTTTTGCCACTCTGATTAAGGTAACTCTAAAACATGCATACTGAACGCATCAACGGCTTCTTCAGGTGTCGAAAAACGTTGAACTCTCATTTGGGACTACATGGCTGATGACCTGTCAAATCGTTGTTTTGAGTGCTCGAAAATGCGGTTGTTTGAGCCGATGTGTTGGAGCTCGCATAGTCGTGGCGTGGGATCCAACGCCAACAAATTTTTTTACAGTCGAATGTTCATGCAAAATTGGATGTAAGCTAGTCCCACTAGTGCCTAAGGTTGCCTCAATCTCACGATAGGTCACATGACGGTTTTGCGGTATTAGTTTGTGCACAGCATCAACCTTTTTCGGAACGACAACTGATTTTGGACGACCTCCACGAAATTCGTCTTCGAGTGAACTACGACCTCGGGTGAAGTCACTGTATCATCGGTAAACACTGGTCCTGGATGGAGCTTCATCCTCGAAAATTGGACCAGGTTCATCCATGCATTGCTGTTGAGTTAAGCCACGTCGAAAGTTGTAGAAAATAATCGCGCGAAAATGCCCACGGTTCAACTCCATAACTTGGCCGAAACAAAATCTTATACCTTAGTGTAAGCAACACAAATCGCGCTCAAATTTTGCAACGGAACCTCAAAATAGTCTAGCTTTACGATAGTGGTGTCAGTTGCTAGATTGCTACACTAGTGTTTCCAAATCCCGAAATATAAAAGGCAACTCTCGTAGATATAAGGGGCCTAACAAAGCAAGAGGCACTTGCCGATTAAAATTCTAATCCTTCGGTGTTCACGATGTAACTTCGACTGTTCAGCATGTTTCATTCGATAAGATGGTAGATTAGGGTGACAAAAGTGAGTGGAAAGTGGAGCGATAGGGATCCGTTAGCGGCACTGCGATAAGCAGATGAGGATTTCGTTCATTTCTTGCTATTAGATTACGATCGCTGCCCAGCAATTTGCGACAGAACTGAGCCGACCTTCAATAATCCGGAATTCTCAATAAATGATATCTTCGTGAAGAAATGGGTCCTTTGATAATGACATCTGATAACGGTGTTAATCACTCGAAACATTTGTGAGTGCCGCCCAAGGATTTGGTTGCCTAACAGTAGAATGCATGGGTATTTATTTTTGAAAACGAGAGCAAAAGATCGAGACTTCCAATTAAAGGCATAAGCACCGACCTACACTTAATAGCATTTGCAATGACCTGTTAGCCCTGGGTCAAACTTCGAGTTCAGGAAAATATTCTTTATAAGTACGGGCTTCAATGAACCTCAGCATGATTTGGCTCGATATAATTCTACGTTTAACTGTTACAAGGCTATTATATAACTTTATTGGCTGACGTTTCGGCGAAGTCGCCTTCCTCAGAGCCTGAAGAGATCAAAACAATTTGTGCATTCCGATCACACGCCTCTGCAGCCCTACTGCAGCCCTACTGTAGTTCGAGACTCCCAGGGCACGCACGTAATCTAAAAAAGGAGCTACTCACTGCAACTTCGTGGAACTCGCAATCATCCAGCAACCGAGAGGGGGACCAGAGTCAGCTGGCCTAGGTCTTCATCAAATCTTTGTGGTAAGGTCAACCTTATATAGGGCCTCAATTCTCGCGTAAGTGTGAGGCATTCTTCCCTCCGGTTCATTTCTGGACTGGTGACCGGTATCCAAAATGCCTCAATGGAGAATATAATTTGTTTTGAAGGCACAGTTCACGATAATTTTAGGGTACCCGGTTTTTGACAGAAAATGATAGGTACGGCCCACAATAGTACAATGGTAAAGCAGAAAACACGAAAAACGATGAGTAAAAAGAAATACAAAGCTTCAAAAAAGAAGAGAAAAGGGGATTCGGACGAGTTACACGGCAAAAAAAACGGTGGTTAAGGGAATTTTCGGGCGAGTCAGACGAACGCGGTGCAGCGTCTGCAATTGCACACAAGACACCAAAACAGCTGATTTTGGCTTCTTCGTTAAAACCAATTATTCTCCACCTGCTATTAAGCTGAATTATGCTGAGAATCAATTCGCCGGAACGGGAAGGTACGTAAATTTGATTATATTCATGTTTTTACAGCGAAATTTTCTTCTATATGTTTTTATTTCGTTGAATTGTTCTTTCATTAATTTAGATTATTGATTTTTCACTAATGTTGCTCCAATGCGAAAGTGGTGAACGGCAATTAGATTTCGTAGTCAGCCTAGCGAGAGGCGGAGGCTGACCGTGCTTCACTCCCCGGCCCCTTATTGTGCCCTATCCAGAACGTTTTTCGACTTTATTCCGGTGTATATGGTATCAGAGGGGGCCCCGAATTCATACCGTGTGCGAATCTCCGAAAACATTTTTATCGTGGACTGGGCCTTTGAAGAAAGAGTTAGCCTACTACTTTGTCGAAAAAGGAGGGAAGCCCGGCGTTAACCGGTGGAACCGACTGGTAATTGAATAGTTGGCGTATATCGCTTCGACTGTAAGCATGCCCACAACGGCGCATACCAACTGAAAGCGCTCTACTTCCTGTTTATGGCTAGACTCTAATCATATCTCTACTAGGAAAGAACACCGCGCCTATTTATGCGCAAGAGAAACGTATCTGTCCAACTGTGTTTCGTCCATTTTACTCATGATTCATTAGTTCAAAACATAACAATTGCATTGAATATTCCAGAACGTCAATTTTGTAATAAACCGTTTGACTCATCTTTAATGAATGATTTTGATAAATTTGTATTTCTAGTAAAGTTCTCCGCACAGCTCGTTTGAAGCCTAATGTCTTCTATTCAAGTCTAGAGTTTGTGATACCTAATTGTTAAACTAGGAACAAACCTGATTGATTATGGAAAGTAAGGCGGTACTGGAACGGCTAAAGGCATAGTTCACGATACTTTTGTGGTAGCTAGTTTTAGACGAATAATGCCTAGAATGATGCAAAACTGAAGAAGAAAACGTGAAAATCGGCATATTAGAAGAAATATATATAAGGCTCCAAAAACGAAGTAAATCTGGGAGTTGGACGAGAATGTTACGAAAAAAAGCTGCATGGAAGCTGATTGGGACGAGCCGTTGGAACGAATGGCTGCTTTCATAGTCCGCCGGCCGGTCGGCGAGCCGGCGTACCGGCGGAGGCAGTGCTAGGGGGAGGAGGGAGGCCGATAGATAGGCAAACAGCCCACGCCCCTTCGAGGGGTTGAAAACAAACAACCTTCGAAGGGGCGTGGACTGTTTGCCTTACACTGTCTGCCTCCCTCCTCCCCCCTAGCACTGTCTCCGCCGGCACGCCGGCCGGCCGGCCGGCGGACTATGAAAGGAGCCAATGCTATACGTTGCCCGCGTGTAAGTGATGGAACCCAGTGCCAATAGTACAACCACAACTTTTAAAAAGCTCAACAACTCGTCGGCCTTGGGTGTGTACGCCGCTTTTTGGGGCCCTCGTTACGCCCTATTTTGATGTTTTTCGACATGACAGCGTCCCTTAGGCTATCCAACTTATGGGTCATAAGTTCATCCTAGGAAGAAACCTCAGAAATCATTTTTAACGCGAACTATATCTTTAAAGAGTAGGGAAGCAAATCAAATATTCGATCATTTCTCGAGTGATGTCTGTACATCCTACTCGGCCCACTTGAGCTGTTTCTACCATTCATTCTTCACAGATATACTTAACAGAGACTATAGATTTTGAAGGTGTCTAATAGAACCCAAACTTATCACAAATGAGGACGATCCCGTGTGAGAGTAGACTCTACTTCAGCGCTAACAAATGCTCGGCGTTGAACTACTTATTTTAACTGAATCAGAGCATAACAATTGAAGGAGACCTTGTTTCTTCCCTTCAAAATGCTTTAAGGCAGAACGGTGGGTGAAAGATGAGAACAATTAAACATTCGAAGATCAGTCCTTCCTTCACCAGGTGATGACAGCGGAATGCAACTGCAAAAAAAAGTGATTTCTGAATCTACAAGTGGTAAAGACTTATTAAAAGTCATGACGATGATATGTTCTTTGAAACCCACCTACAAGATGAGCAACGAGCAGCAACAGGAATGGCCAAGGCTTGTGTCCGTAAATAGATCACCAATAACTCTCGAACGTCTCCACGGGTTGACTCACGACAACCTTGTTGCAGCTCCACATGAGCCTCATAGTTACGGAGTACGTCAACCAGAGCATTTCTCAATCCTGGTACAGACATTGTCGACGGAATCTGGCAAGCACTGATATAAGCTAGCAGTCCAAGCTACTTGATAAGATATACAGGAATGTGTAGGTTCATGGACCGGAAAATTTCTTTCAACGCTATGTGCAAGAGAAAAATCTGATCTGGTAGCTACCTTTTGAATCACACGAAGAGGGTCGACATTACTGCCAGCGTGATGAAGCAGCTGAGCCACATGGGTGGGCGTCTTCATAACTTCATCGATCAAACGTGTCCATAGGTCCGGATCATCGTGTTCTACAGAAATGAACCCATTAACATCGGCCATGACCACTATCATCCAACTATTTTTTTGGTCTTGAAGGAGCTAAGTCTTGGGCTAGAGCGCTGAGACACACGCTTCAAGGAGTAAACCACAGAGAAACTGGTACTGTTCCAAATTGGTTTCACTTTGGAAGCCGGTTCGGGAAATACATAACACGAAGTTCGCTCTTGTTTCGCGATCACAGTATCCTTACTATATATGAAGCGCTCTGTTTGTTTGTTTGTTTGTTTGTACGGAAATTCGACATAACCTGAAGAAACACCTGGGGAAGTCGGGTCAAGTTTGGAATGGGTTGAGATAGGGTAATTGCAACAGAGCACATGTGAGCCTAGCGGAGCTCCGCCCCCAAGGGGCGGGGCATGCGCCGGAATTGGGTGGGGTCATGGGCCAGTTCTTCTGTTTCAGTCTAATAACAGTCCAGACGCCGGGAAAAAATGTGCATAGGTGAGGGATGGGTCAACAACTAAAATGAAGCAAACTCACCGGCGGTGGGCGGAGCGCTCTCGCAGTGGGCGGTACTTTCCACAGAGATTCGTAACTCGATTCAACGAAGGCGTCGAGGCCAGCAAAAAAAGTAAAAAGAGTGAGCAAGGCCTTATGCGTGCTGGGCATGCGTAAGTATAGCGAAGCCCCGCCAACGGTGGGCGGGGCGTGCGTTAAGGTGAAAACTCCTTTTTCAAAAATGAGTGTAACTTCGTTCGGAAACGTTCTAGAATGCGGAAAAAAAGTGGTTAGAGGTAATGAAACAAATGTGGTCAAATTCCTGAAGTGGGCGGGGTTAGCACCAAAGTGGGCGGAGCTTAGATCAAAATTCCATAACTCTGTTTAAAAACGTTCTAGAACGCGGAGAAAAAGTGGTAAGAGGTAATGGAACAAATCTAGCCAAATTCCAGAAAGGGCGGGGTTGGAACCAAAGTGGGCCTCAGATCAAAGTTTCATAACTCTGTTCAGAAACGTTCTAGAATGCGGGAAGAAGTGGTTAAGGGTAACGGAACAAATGTGGTCAAAACCTCGAAGTGGGCAGAGCCGGCACAGGAAAGCGGATCTATGACCAAAAATTCGTCCCTTCGAAAACTTTCTAGAATGCGGAAAAAATGGTTAGCAGCAGTTAAAAGATGAGTGGTCAAGTTTATAGTGCGAAGGGTTTGCACCAAGGTGGACGGAGCTATGATTAACCACTAATAACTCTGCTCGAATATATCTCTCAGCAGTTCAGCGTTCGAATCTAGAGAGACTATCTTATTCTAATTATAGGATTCCGCTGAATGGCTCTATCGTGGATAAGTGGCCGTCGACATACATATATTACACGCGTTAGCGTGCATAGCCAAACTGGTAATAGATAAGAGCTGACTACTCTAATCCAAGTCCTGGAAATCTGGCCCGCAATACGATGGTTGCTTTGAGTAACACTTTCGATAGAGGAAAGTATTTCCAGGCTACGGCAGGGGTTTCTATTGCAGGCGGGCGTGGTCACTTGTGTAGGACGCTTTGACTCGATAGGAGCCCTTTTTCATGAAAATTATATGAACATCTGACGAGCATAGAGAATTTCTACGATGACTTGAGAGGACCGTCATCGAGCTCTTCATATTCAAGATGCACGCTAACGATAGTTTAAAAACTTACCTTGGCAATACTCGACAGCCTTGTCCAGCTGATTATATTTTCTGATCATCAGATCCAATGCATCTGCGTGATTTCCACTTTTTCCCAGAAGAAGAATCATCTACAATTGATCCATTCGACAAAGACTTCATACAATAGATGAAGCTAGTTTAAAACCTCTTCGACAAAATTCTTCTGTCTGCACACTTCCAAAGCCCTATTTATTTGATAGCTTTCGTTTTTCCTCAGGAATGGCATTAACTTCTTCCTATCATATTCTGCATATAACCGAACAGCCTGATCAGCAAATTCTGCTCCTTCGTTTTTACTAAGCAATTTCGTCAAGTATGCCATCTGGAACATTCCACAATTTAGGGTACCTTGTATCAGTCATTCTCGAATGAGATGATATAAACTGAGAGAAGATAAAATTATTTTTTCTGAAATAAGAACGAAAAGAAAACCATACTCAACAAGATAAAAAGCATTTTCAAATACGTAATTATATAAAAAAAANAAAAAAAATCAAGCAATACATGAACAGCCTAACAACAGAATTCAAATACGTACTTGGACTTTCGGCTGTCGAGCCATTGTGGTCATCACTAAAGCGGCTGGTACACTGTCTTCATTGTCCAGTAAAAGCCGTAATGTTCGATCAGAATTTATAAGCATCAATTCTGATATTTGTTCCTTCACCTGCGATGAAGTCCTAATCTTTACAAACCCGAGATGACACAAACTGCTAGACCCAAATTACTTGAAATCAGTGGTAGAGGAACTGTGCAAACTTTAACTTGTGGGAAAGTTTGAAAAACTCAGGTTCACACCTAGGATGGTTGTCAATTTAAGCGTTTGCTGGCAAAAAACATGACAAATAGGATTGTTCTGGGGCTTGCTACACCAGAAGGACGAACGGTGTAACGACTACCTCCAATAAACCTCTGCGATCATCCCGAATATTTTCGAATTAACAACTGACTTGAATGCAGTAAAAGGGTTATGCGCTATGAGATAACTAATCCTTATAAGAGGAGCCTTGCATTCGAGTTTCATCGAAATTAGTCATTTGAGAGGGCAAACTCTGTCCTAAGCACCCAACACCAAAATGTAGCACTACACCGATCAGCCTGATTAAAAAAACGACCTATGAAACTGAGATCTGACAGTGCTCCCTTCAGAAGTTCTCCTTTGGAAGCTTTACTATACAACGAATCAAAACTTACATGATCAAATAGCTGATATTTGTCGATCACTGCAAAGACCTGCTGGTCCCCTAAATTGGTATAGATCTTGATGGCCGAGTCGAATTTTCTTTCATGAACATAGAGATGTGCTAAAGCGTGATACAGTCGCAATTCCTCCTGAACAATTACCATTATGATGTGGTGTGAATAGAGTTTTTTAGATGTACTTAGAATGTGAAAGTAAAAAAGAGAATATGCTTACCTTATGCGAAAGAACGTCTGATTGTGAAGACGACGATAGTACCTCTTGAATCCTTCTTAGAATCAATCCAATCAGCCAACCTCCAGTATGAACATTATGATATAAAACGACATAAAGAGAACACCAATAACTACCAACCCGTGCAACAAGCAATAGTGCTTCCCACATAATTTCTTTTATTTCAGTTTGGCTTTCAGTTTTACTTAAATTCACGTTGTATGTTACGTTACGTTTGATTTGTTACGTTTTGCAGACTTTTTTCTATGATCAGCTGTTCTTGTCTCTGGAGCTAGTGCAATTCTTTTCTTTTCGATATTTTGAAAAACTGCAACGAGTTGTGAACGGAAAAATCCTCAAGCCCTGAGATTTATGGTAATCACAGAATGGTTTCTGCGTTAAGTACCGATCTTCCATCAAAAAAAAAAAAAAAAAAAAAAAAAAAAAAA